TAAGTTATAGATTTTAAAGTAATAAATATTGCAGGTTTTGTAGTCAATTAATCAAATACTCTATTAGCACAATACACAAGTTTTATGGTAAATTATATCTAAGATTAATATAATAAAATTTTAAGACTGACTTTTTGCACGATTATATAGATAATTCGATAGATATTAACTTTTGAAATTATTTATAAGAATGGTTGTCGAAACCAAAATTCTTAAAAAAATGTAATTGATCGCTAGAATACAATTTTCGATATTTTAGCAATTGTCTTATGCTTATGATTGTTTGTATCCTTACATTTAACTCAGGCTCAAAATATTAGAAAGGTTACGAAAAAGAAAATTATTGTAAAAAATCGGTAAGTCACTAAATATTGTGAAATTTATCAAAACTGTTAACAATTGTTAATTATATTGTTTGTACCCTTAGCAATCACGAAAATGAAAAGTTGCAATGATTACGAAAAAGAAAATTATTTTTAATTTTCTTAATAATTTTTTAAAAAATAAATTGAAAATTAAATTTATTGTAATTTATTATTGTAAAAAAGCGTTAAATCACTAAATATTGTAAAATTTTATCAAAACAATTTTTAATTAAATTGTTTGTACCCGTAGCAATCACTTACATTTCACACAAATTCAAAATATTGGAATCGTTACTAAAAAGAAAATTATTTTTAATTTTCTTAATAAATTAAAAAAATTAAATTGAAAATTAAATTTATTGTAATTTATTATTGTAAAAAACGTTAAATCACTAAATATTGTGAAATTTATCAAAACTTAATTAAGTTATTTGTACCCTTAGCAATCATCTATATTTAAACCAGGTTCAAAATATTGGAACGGTTACGAAAAAGAAAATTATTGTAAAAAAGCTTTAAATCACTAAATATTGTGAAATTTATCAAAACTGTTAACAATTATTAATTAAATTGTTTGTACCCTTAGCAATCCCATTTAATTCAGTTTCAAAATATTGGAATGATTACGAAAAAGGAAATTATTGTAAAAAAAAGCGTTAAGTCGCTAAATATTGTGAAATTTATCAAAAATGTTAATAATTGCCTTAATGAGAAATTGAACACTCTTATACAAGTAACATTTAAAACAATCACCAAAATATATAATTTTTTGAATAATAATAAATAAATTTTATGTAGTAATTCAAAGTAATCGATCCTGTAATAAAAAAAAAAGGGAAGCAAAGAAAGCAAATTAGTAAAAAGCAATGCTACTACAATTGAACTTTTCACACTTTTTTCCCCTCTTACTTGATAGTATGCACCGTCCACCAGTAGTGTAGTAATTAGTTCGTTATTTCTTGAGAAAGAAAAACGTTGTTCCAACTTCGAAATGAGTTCACAAGAATAGTGTAGGAGAGGTAGTAGGAAAAGCGATCGGTACTTTCTGAAGAAGATTGATTTGAGTATTTTCCTGTACATTGGATTGACACCTTTTCTCATCTTCTCCATTTTCTTTTCCCAGAGTTTTGCAACAAGAAATCCCCCCCCTTAAAAAAAAAAAGAAAACCCTACACTTTTAATTAAAAGACGTACTTGTAGATTTTCTTAGGTAGTTGGTGTGGTGTATTCCTTTGAAGTATCGAATCGTGATATTTTTTGCGATGTATACTTTATTTAAATTTGTTATATCAAATAATGTGCATACTTTATTTAAATGTGCTATACCAAATAATGTGCATACTTTATTTAAATTTGTTATACCAAATAATGTGCATACTTTTTAAATTTGTTATAAAATAATGTGCATACTTTATTTAAATGTGCTATACCAAATAATGTGCATACTTTATTTAAATTTGTTATACCAAATAATGTGCATACTTTATTTAAATTTGTTATATCAAATAATGTGCATACTTTATTTAAATGTGCTATACCAAATAATGTGCATACTTTATTTAAATTTGTTATACCAAATAATGTGCATACTTTATCAAATCGTGAGTTTATAAGTATCAAATCGCGATCACTTTTGCGATGCATTCTTTATTTAAATTTGTTATACCAAAAAACGTACATACTTTATTTAAATTTGTTATACCAAATAATGGGCATACTTTATTTAAATTTGTTATATCAAATAATGTTCATATTTTATTTAAATTTGTTATACCAAATAATGTGCATACTTTATTTAAATTTGTTATATCAAATAATGGACATAATTTATTTTGTTTAAATTTAATTTAATTTATATTTATTTAATTTTTATGATATTTTCCATGGTATAAATGTACAATATATGTTTTCCAAAAAAAGCTTTAGGATTCTGAAAATGGCTTTTATTTATTTATTTATTTTTGTGGCCTGCGACACCCTCCTGGTTAACGCGTTGGCTTTCTGAACTAGGGGTGCTCAATTCGAAATCCGGTAAATGAGCCGAGCTATAAAAATTCTAGGGATGTACACGATAAATCTATAGGTTGGAAAAATCTTTTAATTTTAATTGAAAAAGTATAGCTCCCTACACTAATGTCACTTCTTCTTTTGTTCAAAATTGCCGTGGGACCAGAAAATAACGTGAACCCTGCGAAGTAGTGTTCTCATTCTAAAACAGGGCTCAACAAGCTTAGAAAGTTCATGGGCCCAACATGTCGATACTTAAACATTTCCATCGGGGGGGGAAAAACACATTTATTGTTATGCTTATTATCGCTCTATGATCACTTTTTTTAGGATAATTAAACCGGAACCTACAGTTTTTACGTGGATGCCGAACCACTAACAAACATCCATGCCACCGCCAAGATTCGAACCTGAAGCATCAAAGGCCACCAAAAGCCAATTGGTTATCAGACCTCTTATTGTTATTTGCATGCGAAACTTCATTTACCCTTATTTAGCGTAAGTCTAACTATCACGTCATTTTCACAAAAACAATACATTGAAATAAAAAGTCCTTGGATTAATTTGATTTTCTTAAGAAAATCAGTAAGAATCCAACGTATTTGATATTTATTATTTCCTTAATTTTTAAATAATCTATAGCTCTATTATCAAAATCGCTTTTAATATCATAAAATTTTGTATAGGTTACTATAACTTAAGAACTTGATAACCAATCAAGTTTTTTTTCTTCTTTTAAACCGATTTTCTGAGTTATGTATAAGCCCTGAGGAAGACAATGTATTTTCTTTGCTTGTTTAACTTAATTGGTTTGTTAAAGTAATTAGGATAGTTTGATTAATGCGTTTTTGGATCAATAGGTAACAGAGAGCTATTCATTAAAACTGGACCTGTCTGCTTCCGACGCTGTTCTGCAACAATTCAACAAGATACATAAATCTTCAAGAAGATACGGAAAATTCCGTTTATGTATCTTAACTATACGTCAAATGTATGGCAAAATGTTAAAACTGCACAGAAAAAATTAGATTATATATAATTATCAGTACGAAAATAGTCATTTTGAAAAACAGAAATATGCTACTCTCTCTCTTTTTTTTTTTTTTTTTTTTTCCTAAACTTAAGAATGTAACATAAGGTTAGTGTTTCAATTATCATCAAACCATAAATAATAAATCGTGGTAATATATAATTAATCCAAATCATCATATAATAAATTGTGTATAATTTCCCCTCCCCCCTGCTTTTAGCGGCATGATGGCCAATCTTCAAAATGATACAGAAAATTTCATTTACGTATCATAACGTACGTCAAATGCATAACAAAATGCTAAAACTGTACAGAAAAAATTAAATTAAATATAATTATCTATACGGAAATATAAAAAAACCATCATTTTAAAAAACAGAAATATGCTACTCTTTTTCGCTTTCTAAATGGAAAAATGCAACATAAGGTTAGTGTTTCAATTGTGTATAATTTCCCCACCCCCTGCTTTTAGCGGCCTGATGGCCAATCTTCCAAGAAGGTACGGAAAATTTCATTTACTTATTGTAACGATACGTTAAATGCATAACGAAATGTTAAAACTACATAGAAAAAATTAAATTAAATATACATATCGGTACGAAAATAGTCATTTTGAAAAACAGAAATAAGCTACTCTTTTTTGCTTTCTAAACGTAAGAATTAAAAATGCAATATAAGGTTAGTGTTTCAATTGTGTATAATTTCCCCACCCCCTGCTTTTAGCGGCCTGATGGCCAATCTTCCAAGAAGGTATGAAAAATTTCATTTACGTATCGTCAGAAATATGCTACTCTTTTTTGCTTTCTAAACGTAAGAATGTAACATAAGGTTAGTGTTTCAATTGTGCATAATTTCCCCTCCCCCTGCTTTTAGCGACCTGATGGCCAATCTTCAGGCAGATACGGAAAATTTCATTTACATATCATAACGATACGTTAAATGCATAACGAAATGTTAAAACTACATAGAAAAAATTAAATTAAATATAATTATATGTACGAAAATAATCATTTTGAAAAACAAAAATATGCTACTCTTTTTTGCTTTCTAAACGTAAAAATGCAACGCAATGTTAGTGTTTCAATTGTGTATAATTTCCCCTCCCCCTGCTTTTAGCGGCCTGATAGCCAATTGGCTAACGCTCTGGTCTTTAGCACCACAGACTTCATGTTCGAATCTGGCGGTGGCATGGATGCTTGTTAGTGATTCAGAATCCACGTTAAACTGTAGGTCCCGGTCTAATTAGTCCAAAGTGTGCACAAAATGGTCGTAGAGCGACAACGAAAGATGCGCCTTTAAGATGCATTGGAACATAAATTGCACTTTAAATTAATTCCACAAATAACTTGCACGATATATTATATTATAATGTTTGTGAATTGGATCGTTAGAATATTATATACTAAATATATAAAAAGAGTATATGAACTACAATATAAAAATAATATACGCTTAGAAGTATAAGAATGTTAAATTAACTACGTACAGTTCATGTAGAATATATGAGTTATAATATAAAAAGAAAATAAATCAATTAACTACATGCAGTCCATGAAGAAGATATAACTCATAATATTAAAATAAAAAATTGAAACAAAGCAGCCATATTATGCTAAATATACCGGTTCTCGTTTGATCACCGAAGTTCAAGCATCATCGGGCGTGGTCAGTACTTGGGAGGATGACCAAGTAGAAACACCACGTGCCGTTTTGACATTCGTAAAAATAATAAAATAAACCAATAGCTCGTGAAAGAAATTTAAAAAAAAAATTAACCAATAAGAAGCATTGAAAATGGTCCAGAACATTGCTGTCCCACTCTCCCCGCACCAAAACCATATATTTTATGAGTAATAAAATGATTTTAAACAATAATAATATTTGATCATATTTTCTGAGTCGTCAAAGTTACTAGTACCAGATTGCAACACAAAAATGTCTTCAATAAAAGACATTTTGTTAATTCCTGCAATCAATAAATTTACTCCTTATAGTAATTTATTCATTTTATAAATACTCCGTTTATGCATTCAATTGAGTTTTACTATTTCCAATTTTCATTCTTTCTGACTCATATCAGAACGAATTCTCCTACAGAAAATTAAGTTTGGTCACTTTTGAATTATGTATAATTTATTCGTTGCCGTGTTTAACTTTAAGCAGAATCAATTTCATGAAAATTCCAGTAAATAGAATGAACACTGATTTAATAATAAAAAAACTTTTAAATACTTGAAAATATGTTAATTTCTATGTTTCCATCTTATGTTTAGGATAAGTCAAAATTTTAATTTTTTCAATTCATGGAAGCAAAAATTTAAAAATATATACATATATATTTTTTTTCAATATTTAGATTAATGATTTGCAATTTATGGCTCAATATTTGGTTGGTTTTGGAAGAGAAATATTACCGTATATTTTCGTGTATAAGCCGGAAATGTCTTTATTCTTCAAATAATTTACGTAAATTCAAAACCCATATATAAGCCGAAATGAAAAAAATCCTGTAATGTTCATCATTTATGGTACTTTATTATTTCTGGTACTTTACCATTAGCAGAAAGTACCAGAAATTCAGTACATCAGATTTTTCGTTTTGACAACGATACAATAAACCAGCAATATAACCAATTTCAAAAATAAAAAAATCATTTTCATAAAACGGTTATATCATTTAAAATTAGTTCCCCCCTTCCTTAGAAACTTAAGAAATGTAAACTGGAGAAATAATGTGCTTTGTTTAGCGATATTTGACGTTTATCATTTGCGTCCAACTAACAGAAAAGCACCTGCGGTTTTTGCGAAACTAGCAGAACCGTATATACTACAAACCGACCGAAAAAAGTTCTAAAAATTATCGGCTTATGCTCTGAAATGTACGATAATTAGAAAATTTATGTATAATAAAAATATACTATCAAAAATATATTATTAACAATATGCTTACAAATTTAACTATTAGTTAAATTTATAAGAATATTGTTAATCATTTACTTAAAACTTTGATAATAAAAGTTTTTATTTTTAATATTATTAAAATGAACTTCGGATAGATAGTTAGATACTGAATTCAGAAGATTTTAGGCAGTCGTGGCGCCATCTATCAATAAGTTTGTATACTAATTTAATAAAAGGGTAATTTCATTTTTTCCCTTAACATTTTTGTTATTGTTATTATATACCACTATAAAGCAGATAAAAATATATCAAGTATATCATCAAAAAATTAAAATGTTATATTAAATCTCAGATTAAATTTCAAATAATTGTTTGATAATTGAATTTTTCAACATAACATTTTTCTTAAATATCATTTAAAATTATTTAAACTGCTTAAATCTAATTATAATAAAACCAATAAGTATTTATAATATAAAATATTAATCTCTCCAAACAAAATAATAATATTTCCATTTAAAAATATTTAAAGAATTTTTTAAAAACTGTTATACAACTTTGATTCCTTGTTTATCTTTTCTTCTTCATTTCCTGTGTATCAAAATAAAACATCGGAAGCATTTGTCTATGAATTTTTATCAGGTTGTAATTTAAAAAATTATAAAATGTAAAATAATGAATAATAAATTTTTGCAAAATAAAGTTTTACATTTTCGAAAGAAAAAAAAAGAAGAAAGTTTAGAGTATTTAACACATTGTTATTGTTCTATCTTTTTGTTAGTATTTAACTGTAAATATTTAAGTCAAATCTTCCATGGGATTATTGCTATTCTAAACTAATAAAAGAATCGTGAAAAAAAATATATATTTTTTTTAACTAAAGAAAAAAACATTCTTAGGAAATAAAAGATACTCTTTCTTATTTATTTATTTATTTATTTTTATCATTTTATTAATTTAAAACAGCAATAATTAGACTGCATTTTAAAGTTATTAATATTAAGCCAGGAAAATACATTTATCCTTTCATAGAACTTCGAATCATAATTTAAATGTCATTGTCTAAATACTTTTTGTGAATTAAGACGTAGAATTAAACAGCTGAATTAATTTCCATACAACATCTGTGCTGGTAATAATTGTTCAGCCGTCATCGAAAGTTTTATTTTTTTATCATCAGATAATTATTAAAAAAAAAACTATAAAAATAAACACGAAAAGATTATCAAAACGTGTTTCCTACCTGTAGAAAGAAAAAATGAAAATTTAATATTTTTTGGCTACGATTAAAAAACAGATTAATTATTTTGTATGATTTTGTTTTGCACCTTGTTTTGTGATTACTTAAATGATTTTGTTTTGTTTTTCTTTTCATTATTATGATTTTTGTCTTTGTTGAAGGTTTTTTGTTTTGTTTTGTTTTTTATTTTGTTTTGTTTTATTTACATTATTTTTGCACGTCTGCTTTTTTTACAGTTTTATTTCGTCGTGTTTCTTTGAGGCCCCCAGCAACGTTAGGTAAACTTTTTTTTTTATTATTTATGATTTATTGCACAGTCTTTTTTGTTGTGACATCTGCTTTTGAGAATCTATTTTCATTTTTTAGAACATTGTATAATAATAATAGTAAAAATGTTTCCATTTTTTGTTTATTATCATATAAAATACATTATAAAAAATTGTTAACTTATCTTTTGTTTAAATGAACTGGAATAATAAAATAGAATGTTCTTTTATAGTTTATTACATTGTATGATCATTTGCATTTATTATCTTTGAATCTGTTTGTTAGCGATTACATACTTAAACTGAAATGAATGTAAAAATATATTTTAAGTATAATATCATAAATAAGTCCAAAAACTGTTGAAAGTGTAGTTAAGAAAGTATTGGAAGAAGTTTTTATAACAGTGGATGTAATTGATTTTGTTATGAATTAATGTAAATCTCAATTAACAATAGTGAAAACATTTATGAAAATTTGCTAAAAGAACATAAAACTATCAATTTATTAAACAAGTTAAACAAAGAATAATTTATAATCAAATAGTTGTGTGGCTTTTATTTAACTAAAATTGAATTGATTAGTAAAAGTAAAAGAAAACAAAATTGTTTGCAATATCAGCAATCAAATTTTCTCTCATTTTTTAACTTAAGTAGTATTTGAGCAGTTCTTCGGTAAGAAGATTCTATAAAATCAATCAGCGTTATATATTTTAATAATACATCTCTTGTTGACTGAACAATTTTTATCTATTAAAAATCACATTCGGTGCTTTACATTTTTATTTGTAAGTACATTTGGTTCTTAAAAAAAAAGATAATGGAAATTTAATGTTTTTAGTTTTATTTATTTTTTTATTTCAATAAAGAAGACACTTTCATAAGTAAATTGTCAATTTTGTTAAAAATTTAATTTTATATTTTAAAAAAATCAAACTGAAAACTTTTCTTTCTGCAATCCGATAGAGTTCAAGGCATTACCTATAAGAATAGTCCAAATAAATTTATATCCTATTCAAATTAACATGCAAAAAAGAAGAAAAAAAAATTAGAATACACTTATGCAATTAAAAGAAAGTAAGATTTTAGAGAACAAAATTAGTTTTCTTTAAACAAATAAAGTGATCGCCTTTCCATTTAAAGTTTGTATTTGTTTGAAAGAGAAAAAAAAAATTATTAGCTTACAAGAGAAAAAATATATTATATTAACATAGCTTTGCACTTATGACTGTTTTAATGAAAGCTTTCAATATCTTTAAAAGCATCTTTCTTTGCTATTCTTAATTTTTCTTATTTATAGAAAGGTAATTTTTAAAAAAATTATAGAATTTTATTTTTTGTATATCCGCTTTAATCTAGCCTTTCATGCTCAAAATTTTCAAAAATACTTTAACAATCAGACAATCAAATTGCAACTGTTTTGAATGAATTTGCACAATTCGTAGTATCAAATAAAACTTCAAATGGCTGAAAATAAATATTAAAAAGAATTTTTTTATTACTTTCTTTTTTCTGATCTTTCCTTCTTTCTTTTATTTTATTTCATTCTTTCTTTTTATGTTCATTTATATGTATAGATTACTTTTCTTAAACTTCTCGGTTTAGTTTTCTTTATAAGTTTTGTAGATTATCTGTCTTGTCCCGTGATTAGCTTTCTTTTTTCTTATCTTTCCCTCTTTCTTTTCTCTTATTTCATTCTCTTTTTTATATTAACTTATATGTATGTATTACTATTTTTAAACTTTTTGATTTAGTTTTCTTTATAAGTTTTGTAGATTATCCGTCTTGTTCCGTGATTAGCTTCTTTCTTTTCTCTTATCTTTCCTTATTTCTTTTCTTTTATTCCATTCTTTCTTCTTTTCTTTTTTTTTTTTTTATTAGTTTAAATAATTACTATATTCCCAAGTGTAGGGCGACAAACATGTTATAAAAACTATAATTGTCGATCCGCATTAATTTCCAATTATTTGTAACGAAACTTTAGCAAACATTTTATAAATTTCCATTTCTCATTTGAATTGATCATTAAATAATTATTTTTAATTGCTATTGTAGAATATATTAAAAATCTAATTAATAGAAATAACGGAAAAATAATTGAAATGATTTTTTTTTCATTCAAATGTCTTTGTTGAGAAGAAAAGCCATAACAATTATTTCTCGAAATGTTGGTAATTACTGAAAATGTATAACCATCTGGGAAAAAATATCTCTACTAAATATTCAAAACAGTTTCAGCGAAGTGTTGAATAACTTTCTAAAGTAAATCCTTTAAAATGCAAATTTTATCTAATTTATTAATTAAT